CGCAGGCTGAGCGGCCATGGCTCACGGGCCCAGCCGCTCTGCGGCATGTGGGATCTTCCCGGACTGGGGCATAAACCCGTGTCCCCTAGCATCAGCAGGCGGACTCTCAACCACTGCGCCACCAGGGAAGCCCCCTTACATGGTTTTTTATAAGTGTCATTTAGATAATATAGTGAGTGCTATGAGTTTTAGGAAGAAATCAGATACTAATAATTTATAGTAATGGATTGAGATTTAATCTAAAGCTCAGCATAAGCTGCTTTTGTTTTTGTTTTGTTTTTAAAATTTATTTATTTATTTATTTATGTAGTTTGGCTGCGTTGGGTCTTTGTTGCTGTGTGTGGGCTTTCTCTAGCTGTGGCCAGCGGGGGCTACTCTTCCTTGTGGCGTGTGGGCTTCTCATTGCGGTGGCTTCTCTTGTTGTGGAGCATGGGCTCAGTAGTTGTGGCTCACGGGCTCCTGAGCGCAGGCTCAGTAGTCGTGGCTCACGGGCTCAGTTGCTCCATGGCATGTGGGATCTTCCTGGACCAGGGCTCGAACCTGTGTCCCCTGCGTTGGCAGGCAGATGCTTAACCACTGCACCACCAGGGAAGTCTGTTTTTGTTTTGTTTTTTTGCGGTACGTGGGCCTCTCACTGTTGTGGCCTCTCCCGTTGTGGAGCCCAGGCTCCGGACACACAGGCTCATGGGCCCAGCCGCTCCGCGGCATGTGGGATCTTCCCAGGACCGGGGCATGAACCCGTATCGCCTGCATTGGCAGGCGGACTCTCAACCACTGCGCCACCAGGGAAGCCCTGGTTTTTTTTTGAGACAAGCCATTTGTCTTATCAAATCATTATTTATTTATTTATTTATGATCACAGTTGATTTATAATATTACATTAGTTTCAGGTGTATAACGTTGATTCAGTATTTTTATAGAGTATACTTCATTGGAAGTTATTACACAACAATGGCTGTCGTTCCCTGTGCCATACAGTATGTCCTTGCTGCTCATCTGTTTCACACACAGTAGCTCGTATCTGTTAACCCTGACCCCTGTCTTGTCCCTCCCTCTACACCCCCCAGCATAAACTGCTTTGCCCATAATGTATGTGGCAGCTGTTGTAGCTGAGCTTCCCACAGACCTTGCTTAGTATTTTGTCCCTTCTGTAGTTCCTCTTCCCATTGATTTTCATGTTAAGTCATCATTATGTTAGATAAAAGGGTAATTGGAAGCAGGTACCTCTAATACGGGTATATGGTAGGTGAGAGGTGTTTGTTAATATTAGCTGGATCCTACCTTTGAGCTGTTCTCTCCCCCTCTCCCTCCCTCCCCCTTCCCTATCCTATTCTATCCTATCCTATCCTTTCTTTTTCCTGTTCCTCCCCCCATCCCCCATTTCATGGACTATCTGTCCACGTCTCAATGCATCAGATGTTATTGAACACCAATTATGGAAGGATGAATATGACAAGATATTTTTTCTTAGGGATTTTGTATTTTGTTTGAATCTGTCTTTGATGGAGAGACTTCATTGAGTCACCATGATGAATATTTACGGTATACAAAGTTCAAAAAGTCACAAGAAGTATAAAGCCAGACTGAGATTCTCAGTTTTCTTTTGACCTGATTTGGGAGCTCTCCAGATTGATTATCTGCTTTTTATGAAAATATGAGGGGTACAATAGCATAACCCTTTTCTAATTTTCCTTTCCACGTGGTGTGTTAGCAAGAGTGTAGGCTCTGGAGTAGACACGCCTAGGGATGAATCCCAGCACTAGGTTGCTGGGAGAGTGGTTTGAACTCTCAGAGCTGATTTCTCCACTTGTGAAAGGTGGTTAGTGATACTTTACTCACTTCAAGATTGGGTAAGAATTCAACGAAATAACGGACGATGGCTGGCAATAGTAAATATACAATCTGTATTTATTTTCCTGCCTTTTTGCTCCATAAAAGCATAAAATACTAGCAATTTGCCTCTTTAACGC